ATGCTAAATATTTTAAAAATGGATTATGAAGTGACTATCTTAACACTGTATTTAGTTGTAGCAAAAGAAGATGAATGCCTGATGTGTGGGCAGTGGAGATGGTATTAGAAAACAAGCCTACTTTGTCTTGATTCTTTTCTTTATTGATGAACAATCTCAAAAAAAAATCTGTTACATGAAATCTAAGTTTGTATAAGTTTGTATTTATCTTTTAAATCTAATTGAAGTTACACTAAATAATATGCTTATAACTGATTATTTTTTTAACTGCTTTAAAGGTTTTGGTTGTTTTATTTGCATAGTCTTGTAATTTGCTGTTTATTTTAGCATGGGAGCATATCTGTCTTGGCCATGTATCCCTGGAGGATAACAGCCAACTTAATTTCAATCGCATCATGCAATGGTTTAAACTTATGTAAGAAACACCTGGGAATGAGTAGTACTTTAGAGTAGGTCATCTAGAACAGTTTTGGCTATCAGTCAGACTCAGTAAAGTACATTGTGCAGTAGCAAAGTACACAGTTTCTTAGTTCATTTTACATATGTGCAACTGAGTACTAGTGAGTGTATCACAGATTTATTGAGTGTATAGTAATTGGAGTTGTTTTTCTTCTTCCAGAATTGTTATCATGTAAATACATATATAATGCAGATATTATAAATACAAAGAATTATCTAAAATGATCAAATGTACTTTATCCCTACAGATAGGGGGTGGTTTATTAAGTGAAAGGAGAGAAGGGGAACACAGGTAGTTAAGATGCATATACATTTATATATCTATACATTTATATATCTATAGTGTGTATATATACACTTGAATGAGTTAAATAGAGTATAGATTATATTTTAAATATATGACTCCATTAACATCAGGACTCCATCCACCCATAAAGGAGGATGTTTACATTAAGTATATGTGGCACCACTTATATAGTCATCAATGTAGCAAAGAGTGACTTCACCCTTGTCTATTTTAATGGTACTTTGAAGAAAATAATAGGTTGAAATGAACTGTAAAAATAATCAGTTTACATATGAGAAGTACTTTCAGGAGAAGAACAGTTACATAATTTAAGATATCTAAATATTAGTGGTAAAAAAAATTGATAAGCAAATAGTTAAAAAAAAGTGCTTTTGAGAATACAAGAGTGTTGAAATCTGTAGCAAGAAGCTCACCAGCGTGTTAAAGCAGTAACTCAAATAGTATATTCCAATATCATTATATAGTTAAACAATGCTAATATTGAACAATGCCTTTTTCACAGCAGATATCAATAAAGAGGTCCTCTATAAAGGATTGTCAAATGAGGTCTTTGAGCATCATAAGCTGTAAACAATATCCTTTACAGTATATGGCAATGCATAGATAAGTCATCAATGTTTGAAGTAGTTAAACCCCTATGATATTATATAAGGGATGTATATCCTTATAACTAAAGACTGTATCTTCATAAGGCTCTACAAGACTATGTCTTGTACACATTAACATTTTTAAGGGTTCTTATTTTATAAAGCCTTCACCCTGGAATTCCCAGATGAAGCTACTTAATAATACCAGCCTAGAATTTCCTTTCTTCCAGCTTCTTCTGTGGGCTCATATATTATTTCATTAAACAAATCTCTGAAGTTTCAAACACATTGTTAAGAAATATTTCCTTCATTACTTAAAAAGATAAAATTAGGATTCTTAAAAACTGCAGGATCCAAAAATCCTTGCTGGACTTTGTGGAATGCTCCTGCTGAGATAACATAGTAGTCTCTTACTCAGGGGAGATACTTGCCAACATTTGACCTAGAACCAGTCATTTAAACATCATTTGGAGCGTATCTGCTCTTCAGTATAAAATACTAGGTCCTAAAATATGCATGTATGTTGCACAGGAAAGATATTTCTTTTTATAATACATGTGGTATTCAAGAATTGACTACTTTGTGCTGAGAAAGCTACTTTTTTTACACTTGCAATTCAAAATGCAGTTCAGATTCAGTAAAGATGATCTACTCTTTACTTCAATTTTTTTTCAGTGTATTTGTACAATTATAATCATTCAGGCACCCAGCTGTTTGTATCCATGTCTCTCTGACATGGTTTTATAAGTGATCTCTTTTGTATGAAATTAAGTAGGTCAGTCAAATTCCAGAATGCTACAAATCAAGTGGCCCAGATTTATTTAAGTGCAAGCCATTAACGTTGAGATTGTCCTTTACTGAGTCACGCATGATCAGCAATGGGAGGACATACACTCCCTGAACTTGAGCACATCAAGATAAAGGTCAGGACACTCACAGTCCACTTCTCTTCTGCTTTTCTTACTTTCTCAAAAAGGTCAACGAGCCAATGCAGAGCCGTGGCACCATTACTCTTGCTGATCACAAAGTTTCTAATACCAAAATGTTCTTGTTTATTTCACTGACTACCTAACAGAATAGGAGCTTGTGGGAGTCAAGTTATGGTTTTAGATGCATTTTATACTTTGTTAAGATATCTAGAATGTAGGAAGCCTGTTCTATTTTTAGAGTAGATGTTTCAAAAGAACAAAATTATATAGAAGCCAAGGATATCCACTCTCCCCCATCTCTTCTGCTTGTTATCCTCAAATGCTTCTTCTATGTGCATCTGGATCTATGCATCTATGCACACAGTAGACTTTTACTTAGATGGCAAACTTCCCAGGGCAGAACCAGTCCTTTCCTTCATGTGCACGTATGCAGCAGTGTATATGTGTATTACCTAGCACTGAAGAGTCCTGGACTATGCTACATAAAATCAACATACATGTAGTAAATAGTAATGGTGGTCTTACTGTGGTTATATATTATTGCTGCTGCTCTGTGACCTTTCTTCTCCAAAATGGCAGACAGTTGCCGTTTGGTGGCCAGGTTCCTAATAAGTCCTGAGTACATACAGTTTTATGTCAAATGCTTTAATTTTTTTGTTAGTTATTCTTTATATAAATAAAACCAGTGCATGTAAGAATATTTCTTTTATGTAACCATTCTATAACCATTCTTTGTACATATTGCCCCACTTATTTTTCTACTTTTTGGGCATTTCCCCTGTGCAACACTAACAAATGTATTATTTGCTGTCATGTTCTCCCTTTCTTCGTCTTAGGAAGTCTGCAAAACGTGTATGCATTTCTGGTATCGTGGCTGAAGCTAACTCAGAATCATAAAATTAGTGCCTTTTTGTCTTTCTAATTTGACCTGTTGTAAATGCTATAATAAGGGGATGGAGCTCCAGACCAGGAAGGTAGCTGGATGATCTGCTCTCCCTGTGTAGCTCTGTCATGCTTAGCTATCATTTCTCAAAAAATGTTTTGACAACTTCACGTACAATGAATCCTCAGCCCTGGACATACTCAAAGGCTGTCTTGACATGGTCCTAGGCAGCTGGCTCTAGGTGACCCTGCTTGAGCAGGGGAGTTGGACCAAATGACAACTGCAGGTCCCTTCCAACCTCAAACATTGTGTGTTTCTGTGAACCTCTAACTGCATGTCTTATCTATCCTATTCATGACTGATTTACCCACTTTTGTGAGAGTGGATATTGCTTCAAAAGACCTGTACCAGATTCTGTTCACAAACTTATCCCTTCTTACTATCTGTTGTCGCAATGTATGTACCCCCAGATCAATTCAAAGTTAATGGGTCTCAATTCATGTGTAAAGTATCAGAGAATCTATATGCAACATATGTTAACCTGTCTTTTCTCCCACACTCCCTTGAAATCCTTGGTTCAAATCTAGTCATGCATTCTCGTACCCATGCCACAATATCTGAGGTTTAATCACTTCAAAATTTGGCTGGATTCTGTGAAAATCTAGCTTTTTTTGAGAAAAAGAGAGTTAATATTAGGCTAGTTCATCATTTGAACATGGCATCCCACTATAATGGAGAAGTCTAGAGATACTGTCGTTTAGGTTTTGAAATGTAAGATCATCCTGTAAATATTGCAAAATGACAGTGCTTCCCTATAGGTTTGCATGGTCATTGATCTGCACAATGAATACATTTTGTCACATACTACCTTACTGTTGAGCTGATGATCAGTAACATTGCTTTGAGTGGTTTTGAATTTAATATGGCATTAGAGACTAACTGGAAAATACTGCTAGACATAAATTGTCTTTCTTCTTCTCCAAGCCATATGAGGGGCTAAGGCTTCAGGATCTGCGACGGCTTAAGGACATGCTGATTGTGGAATCTGCTGACATGCTCCAAGCCCCACTCTTCACTGCAGAAGCTCTTCTTCGGGCACATGGTAATCCAAAACCCTAAAGACTGCTTTCAGGAAACTCCAAATTGTAGTTGTATGTTTAGTCTTTATTTCCAAGTAAAAGACAAGTAACGGTTAATCAAATGCCAGGAAACAGTTCACACAGTAATTCAGCAAGAAGTACAGCTGCAGTATGTTAAAGAAGCATTGAGGCAGACAGGAAAGCTGACAGGAAAGTGATTCAAACTAGGAATTGTAATGGAAGACATTTTCATTTGTGTAGTGTGGGGAAACAGAGCTTCCCTGTTTTAGTGAGAGACACAGAATTTCCATGGTTTTATAAGTCAAAAAAATCAAGTTTGTTGTACCTATTTTTGTCAGACCATTGGTTTTCTGCCACTATATAGCTGTGTTTAAAACTGGATCGACTTTTTGTGTGTGTTTGTTTGGGTTTTTTTCCCCAATGAAAGCAGTCTGACCATTGCAATAAATGGTTGGAAAGTGCCTTTTGGTTTAAAGCATACAAGTGTATGTTGTCTGAAGGATTTTTAAAGTTACTCTTTTAATACAGGGTATACTTTTCTTGGGTGTATCTGTAACTAGTTTCATTCCACTGAAATAGGTCTGTGGTCTTCTTGTATAATTCAAACTAGGGTTGTCAGAATGAGGATATACTGAATTGAGAGTGTTTCCTCCAGACAAAAGTACTCTGAAATTCAGTGGAAGCTTTAGACCTTGATTCAGTGATTCAAAACTTATGCTTACTGAAGTATCTGCATTGTGACCATATGCCAAAGGAGCTGCCTGGGTTTATGGTATTGTTAATGGTTTGCATGCTCACCACTCTAGTGCTGAATTAAGCTTTCATACCTGCTCTTTTTGTGGGCTCCTTGTGAAAATAAAAGGGAGAGGGGAAAAATGAAATAAGAAAACAATAATTTTGTCAGGCTTTCATGAGCAGGTCTGGAACTTGAAACTCATCTCTTTTGCATTATTTTCACTAGTTGGTATTTGTGTTCCTTTTAACACTGAATTAAGTCAACAGTAATTTATGCCAGTCTGGTGATGTTTAAGGCATAGTCTTTGTATATATGGCTTTTTTTTTTTATTTTATTTGTTTAATACTTATAATGTATTTATAGTATGTACAATGTTTGAATGCTATTTAGGATTCTAGGAATACTTGCATTAAGGCTAAATGTTACTAAATATTTAACTAAGTGGGTAGGCAGATGCTGTAACTTGTGCAGGTACTTTGAAGAAGAAAATGATGGCCATAGTGTTCAGCCTTGCAGCACAGTTTGTATTAAATCCAAAAGCAGTGAGATTAATGTAAACTGGACTGCCAATGTCTAGCAAGTCGGACCTGCAAGTTGAGAGGAAATCAGTCTTTGCTGGAAAGGTCATTCTACTGATGTTGCCTCAGTGATATAGTGGTAATTTAATGCAGTTGGCTGGTGCACAAAAAGAAGCACAGAAAATTTGCAAGTTGTGAGAAAGTCAACTATTTTGCCTGTAGCCATAGTCATACACAGAAACTTATTCAAACAGAATTTATTTTATTTGAAGTGAAGACATAGAATTGGTTCAGCCTAGTAAAGGGAGCAACTGAGCTATTTACAAAGGCTTAGACAATTGGGAAACATTTGTTTGCTTTTGCATTTAATCTTGAAATTCATAAAAGAATAATTTGAAATCTTAATTTAACACTTAAATTATGAAAAGCATCTTTTAAATCTTTGGAAAGATCATTCTTATATACTACTTTAAATCTTTTACAAACATGTAACATTTAATCCAAGAAACTTTGCTTTCTTTTATTGTACAACTATATCAATTTCCTGGCACAAGCTGTAAGAGTTAAGAATGTTTTTTTTTTTTTTAAATAAGAGACAGAAGTATGTAGTGTTAGAAGCAAGATTTAAAAAAAAAAAAAAGTTATTGTGGCAGTCATGAAAATAAATAACTATATGGTTTTTCTACAAATGTTTTCTCAATGTTCCCGTTTCTCTTCTAGTTCATTATACAGCAGTCGATTTCAGGATAAAAGAGAGGCAAATCAGCAAATATAATTACCTTGTATTTTACTAAAACTCATAAGTTAGTAAACAAAACAGTAGAATGTAGCATGTCTTAAACCTGGGTAATTTTAAAGACACAGTAGAAACAAAGCAGCTCAAGAAAACTTTTAGGAAATTTTATCTATCTAGCATCAGTCTGCTTCCCTCTGCAAGATTGTAAAGTCAAGGTAATTCTAAAAAGGCTAATAAATTATATCTGTTTTGAAGTGAAAATACATTAAGGATCTGTGTCTTTCAACAAAATAGATTAAATTAATCCATGATATGTTTTAGCTTAGACATGTAAGCACCTGATCAATAAATCATCTGCAGCTCAAAGGCTTTTTTTAATATTTTCAGATTTTAGTATGATAACAATCATTTTTTGACAAGAGTAGTTTTACTAAGTTCAGTGCTTAGAACATGGTTTGGTTTTGTTTTGTTTTTCCAGCATTAGTACAGTATAGGAGTACTATTTATCTTTTCCTTATAAAATCTAGAATTCAATAAATATAAAAATAATAATAAAATAAAAATAACTTGGATCTTTTGGTTAATAACATTGAGTTTCCAGTGGGAGCACCTAACATTTGAAGAAAAAAATTTGAAAAAAAACACTTAAAAGTCTTTGTTTAAAATGATAGCAAAAAAATTGGAAATTTCTCTTTCCTTCTGAAATTCTAGTTCATCTAATTCATCTGTTCTGTGCATAGTGTGGATGGTTTTAGACTCAAATCCATATATGAATCTGATAGACTTATATTTAAATTAGAACTTTTAAATATTTTTAATATAAAAAAGAGTATTCTTAAGGTAACTTTAGTATTATTCTTAGTAATCAGAAACAGAAAACATTTCTAACAATGATTAGGAAAGATTTGATTTAGTTTTAAGATCTTAATACATAATAAAATTTGTTCCACTAGTTCTTTCTTGCATATAAATGGGAAATGTTAATATTGAATAAAAGCATTAAGTAACACATTTATAGAATAAAAATGTAGGAAGAATATATGAAATATTTGTTGCAATGAGGTGGGTGGTTTGTTTTGGTTTTGTTTTTTTTTTTTTTCCCTAGAAATGCATGGCTCTTATGTGCATATATAAAAACTGGTAACTCATTAGGTCACAAATCTTTTTGTAATGCAGTTGTATCTTAGTTTTCTTCCTTTGTTTCTGGCACTGGGCTTCATCTTCTTAAAAAACACATCAGATAAAAATAAATCTCTATTGAACAATTATTTTTTTCTTTGAAAGGGAAAATATTGAAAATTCTGTGGTGCAAGGGCTGTTACGTTTTGACCAGTTCTGATTTCTGATTCAGTCTCCTTGCTTTTATTTAAGACTGCTATTACAAGGAAACAAGATACTTGCCATGCAATTATTTACATAAATACATGGCATTATTTATTCTCTTGGAACGTGTTCCGTAAAACTCAATATGTAAAATTCTGTTCACTTACACTTTATCATATATATTTATTTCTAAATTTTTTAGCTTAGTGTTTATATAGTCTTTTGAAGGCGCAATTATAAAATAGATTTTAAACGTTATCAGCTGCCTGATTTCCTGTGTCTGTATATTTGTTGAAGACTGGGACAGGGAGAAGTTACTTGAGGCATGGATGTCTAATCCAGAGAACTGCTGCCAGCGTTCGGGGGTTCAGATGCCAACTCCCCCTCCAAGCGGCTACAACGCGTGGGACACGCTCCCTTCTCCTCGAACTCCACGCACCACGCGCTCTTCTCTAACCTCCCCTGATGAAATCAGCCCCTCACCAGGAGACATTGAGACAGCTGTGGTAGGTTTATAAATAGATACGGAACTAGCAGGGCAAAAGAGTCATTTCTAAACATAGCGCACCTATGCAGACAGGAGAGTTGCATTGCCATCTCCTTCTGAACGTACATATTTGTAAAGATGTAATGTGTTCCTCTCTGCAAAAGTGGTGAACAGAAGAGCTAACAGCTTAAACAGTCTATGTAGTAACGTAACTGAGCATCCGGCTAATACAGAGCACTCTATTTTCACCTTGGCTGTCACTCACAAAGTAGCATTTTAGCCAGCTACAGCCACATCAGTGCATTTGGCTCTTTTGAGCTTCTCTTCCCATCTCACACTTATCAAGACGTTCGCTTTCATTGTATCCGTTTCCCTGAATGTACTCAGTGCTGTGAACCCTGCCTTTTGAAAAATTCTTCTTTAGAGAACAAAATTCTTTCTGTCTGCATTTTGAAATGTCAGCCCACTAGCGTAGTGTAAGCTTATAATTACTTTTACTATGTGTGGGCTTCTTCAAGCAGTTTACAAGGCTATTGCAAAATCAAAATATGAAAGCGCCTTTCATTAAAATCAGTGTGGTTCTTTTGGAAGACAAGAGTTCTCTTTTTAATAATCCACAGCTGCAGCATTATAAAACTTTTGCTTCATGACCTAAGCATTTTTCTAGAGTATTATGTGCAGCCTTGCAAATGGATCAACGCTAGATCTCCTATTAAATTTAAGATTTTACATTCCTGCATAGAAATCTTTTATTTCTTTATTTGTAAACTGCTGAAAAAGGAACTATATGGAAGGAATGATGTTACCGGACATTTACTTACTTTAGCAATACAATATTGTCACAAATATTTCCTAATTCAAATGTATAATGAAAGATTACATGTCTCCAGTTTTACATTTTGTTTTGTTTTTCACTGGTGGTCCATAGGCCAGGAATGCAGGTTTGGATAATGATTGCTATTATAGATCTCATGTATTTAAATCCAAATCCAGTGTTATACATTTAATATTCCTGTTTGCTTAAAAACTTATAAAGAGATATCAAAATAAAATTTTCAAAATGTTTTTTATGAAATAATACGTATTTTTCTGGTGTCTCACATTTTGGCAGAAAAATGAAAACTAAGAGGAATAGATAAAACCACAGCTCCTTTTCAGATTTTGCATTTACATCTATCTTATCATTTAAACTGTTCCAGTAAATATTCTGTACTTGATATTTTGAACTCAGGGCTTCATGAAATTCCTTATTTTAAAGTTACGTTTTAAACATAATTGCAAATTCATACATTTAATGGTGAACATTTTTGATGCATTGTCAACTTCTAAAATATTTAATTTTGACAAGACGATAAGCTGAAATGACTGAAATAACAATAAATGCCTTCACCTAGCTTTGCACTTTAAAGGCCAACTTTATTGATTTGGTTTTGTATTGGCTGTAACACAAATGCTTTTAAAAAGTGGCATACCATTGGATTTTTTAAAATGTCCTATGTGTATGTAATATCTAAGGTATTGGAAACTGATGTAAATTTTCACTGAATCTTTTTTCCAATGGAAACAAAAATCCATGTCATAGAATCATAGAATTATAGAATCCTTTAGGTTGGAAGGGACCTCCAAGATCATCAAGTCCAACCATTGAGCCATTAGGGCTCTAAAGTCCTCTGCTAGAACAGATCAGAATCTGTCAGGGCTGGAAGGGACCACAAGGATCCCCCAGTTCCAACCCCTCTGCCATGAGCAGGGACACCTCCCACTAGATCAGGCTGTCCAGAGCCTCATCCAGCCTGGCCTTAAAGACCCCCAGGGATGGGGCCTCAACCACCACCCTGGGCAACCCATTCCAGGGTCTCACCACTCTCCTGGGGAAGAACTTCTTCCTCACATCCAGCCTGAATCTGCCCACTTCCAGCTTTGCCCCATTCCCTCTAGTTCTGTTGTTACTTGAGATCCTAAAAAGTCCCTCCCCAGCTTTCTTGTAGGCTTCCCTAAGATACTGTCCTTCTTGAAGAGCATGCATTTTTATTTTCATGCCTAACCACAAGCAATGAGTCATTTCATACTTTTGTTTTAAATGTTTTCAGAGTAAGGGTCTTAATATTCAATGTTATTTTTTCAGTAGTATCTAGTTGTATAACATTCAGCATTGATATCTTCTGTTGGAATATTTGTAGCTTAACTTATTTTGATCAAAAGCCTCAAAGTATTCTTAAAAGACAGTATTTATGTAGATTATTACTTAAAATAGTTGCTGCTGTTGCACAACCAAATTGTTCTGCCTTGATTTGAACCTGATGGTGTGAAATGCTAAACATTTCCTGTAGCCTCTGTCATCTCCAAACTCTATTTCTGGCTGCCTGTGAAGCTGATGAAAAATTCAGGTCCCTTTTGTTCCCAGAACTCTAACTCAGAGGTCTGAACACTCTGCAGGATAAAGCATGTACTGATCCGGATAACATGATGGAAGGCACCCCAAAATTATTTGTGTAGGTAGGGAGGTATAGAAGCAAAAATACTTAATCTTTCTCATTTCTGTTTCTATAGCTTAAATAATTTTTTTTTTATTAGAGTTGGATTTTTTTTTTACTCCACTGAGCACTTCAGATTTTTGCTAAGATTTTCCAACATAATGTGTCCTGCTAACAGTATGCTAACATGTGTCCTGCTAACACCTGCTTTAGGGTGTTTCTTAATCAAAAGTATTTTTTTCATCTGCAGTGTGACATTTGTATGTGTAATATTTCTGTGTTTGAAGACCCAGTGGATATGCCTTGTGGACATGACTTCTGCAGAGCATGCTGGGAGGCGTAAGTATATGCACTTTACTGTCTTTTGAGAAACTTTCGTACATGCCATTTTGAAGAGGAAGGGACCAAGACCATACACAGCTAATGTTACAATACTGTTTGGCAAAAGAGAGTTGCTGGTTTGACCCTATTGAATATTTAAGTTGTCACTCAAAGTGGCTATAAACTGTTTTGTGCTTACATAATGTTTGATTTTGTTCTGATTCGGCAAAATTCTTAAACAAGTGTTTCAAGCCTATGTGTAAATAGGTGAACCTACTTGTGATTTGTGGTGCTGGCAGCGTTGGGGTTTAAACTTTCTGAACTCAGCACATGCTTAATTCCGTCTCTTAGTTTAGGATACTAAACTTAGGTCTCATAAATCCATTCCCAGTCAGAAAAGCAATGAAAATGCTTTCCTACATCTAGAATTAATAACTGAGGAGTAGATTTAGCTTAAAAGTTCTATTAGTGTAATGCTTTGTTACTATATAATGTTTTTTTAAACTCAGAATACTCACGCTAGTAAAAAACTCAGACACTGATAATTATGCTACTGTAAATACTAATCATACTTTCCAGGAATAATTACATCTGTGTGCAGTGCCTTTATATTCATCTTTGTCTACATTCAGGAGATTGTGCTACTTGAATTGTACCAGCATAATCTCTTGTTACAGTGTCATGTCAGTACAGCGAGTCCTACTGCAGATCAGCCCAGTTTATATGAACCCCTTCCTCCTATGCTAAGGAAGAGCACTTTTTCTTCCATCTGAGCTTTTATAAGACAGTTCTTTTCAGTGGCAAGAAGATTAATAGTCGTATTTCTGTTGTGTTGCTAATTGTTATGTAGTGGTGTAGAAGTCACCAAGAGATCACTGGCTTGACATGGGCCTTCTAATTTGGGTGCTGTGTGTACTGCCAAGTGGTGCATGCACTCAGAGCTACAGTTCATTGTCAAGCAAGGGTTTGTGGTGGCACTGGGTGGGATGCATCTTTCTGAGCCAGACATTTCAAAGTTACACAAAGCATAGCCAGGACTGGGTGAGCCCATTCTAAGATATAAATCTAAGATGGGACAAATTGGTAAGCCTCTCCACCTTAACTCCTAAAGGCTCCCAGGTAAGTAACTTAGAATAACTCCCTGTCCTTTAGACGATTAAAGTTAGATAAGTATCAGCCTTGAAGTCAGATTAGTAAATTACAGCTTTTAAACTGAGCAACCTTGTGCCCTGTTTGGTAACTAAGTTCAGCTCTCAGCAGACTTCTGACCTTGTTCTGTCTTGCATTCTGGTGCTTAGAGACTAGAAAGGTCACCATTTAGAAATTTGTTTCCAAGAGCAGACCTATTTTGACTAGCACAGTTGTAAAAATTAATTGCATATCAAATGAATTATTTCCCAGATTAATTACATTTACATGTGCCATTTCTAATTTAAGTCAGAAGTAAAGCTCAGTTTAATTAAACATTGCAGAGCTGTCTCTGATAAGTGGCAAGGATGGAAAACACAAACACTTAGGGCTAAGCATAGGTGATGTGGCTCACTTTTGAACCATGGCAGTGTTCTTTTATTTGTTTTCAATGATGCTGTTCATCTGATCTATAGCCCTTTTGAGTGGGAAAGGATATTTCTTATTCTTGGTTTAAAAAAATTATTAATGTGAGTATCTGTGAACCTAGTATAAAGTATTCAGCAGCCTTTTAATTTTTACTTTTTATTCACAATACTGACTGATAAAATTCTGGCAGATTTTTGAATCTGAAAATTCAGGAGGGTGAAGCTCACAACATTTTTTGCCCAGCATATGATTGTTTCCAGCTTGTGCCTGTAGACATCATAGAAAGTGTGGTTTCCAAGGAGATGGACAAAAGATACCTTCAGTTTGACATTAAGGTAAATTATCAAACTGTTCTTGTACTCTTTAACTGTGTTTCATTTTATAAAAAATAACATGAAGCTTCTATGTGAAATGCTGCAATATATCTTTCCAAGTAGAAATTAATAAATTACAATGTACACTGAATTATGGACTGTCTTATATGCCATAATATCAATGGTTGATATACCACTGTGGAAAAAAAACTCACCATAATGTTTAATCCCTAAGCACAAATGCAGTGCTTCTGTAATGTGTAACCTAGTGCAGTGTTAATAAAATTATTTGATCAAACAATGTTTGTAACAGGTGATATGAAGCTTTTAATCAACCAGGCTTGTGTTGGTAATTTTTAAGAGTTTTTTGATTATTTTTATTACAATGTGGCAATTTACATTCAGAATTGGTACCAGTTTCCATTTTAAAATTTTATTAGTACAAGTGAATTAGTTAAATATTTTTCCGTATGATTGCTGTATATAGGAAAATAAATAAGAAAACCTTTGTTTGGTTTTCCTGTTTGATTTTTTTCTGTGTACCTTTCCAGCATTGCAACTTGTTTTTAAAAGCAATCTTTCAATTCATCTTTTATCTTTTACCAGTGTAGTAATGAAGTAGTTTTTGAGATAATGTGTTACTTTATCAGTTGTGGCAGGGCAAAACAAAGTAATAGTTTTCAAGAAGCCATTGTGACGTTCAATTTTTCCAGCGGCTGGTGCGTGGTAAGGGATATGATATATCCACTCTACTCCATGCTCTTTGGCCCAATTGCTTATAAGGTGGTTCTTGAAGTGGGTCCCATTGTCCGATTCGATCCTCTCCGGGGTACCGTGTCGCCACAGGACTTGTCTCTCCAGGCCCAGGATGGTGTTACGGGCAGTGGCATGAGGCACAGGGTATGTCTCCAGCCATCCAGTGCTCGCCTCCACCATATACTATATAAGTATATATACATATACATATATACTTATACATATAAGCACATACTGCTTACCCTGGCGAG